AAAAAAGAATTTTTTCCAAAAAATAAATTGTAACAAGCATATGTACCTTTGAGATGGAACATTCGTTATCATGCAAATTTATAGAGTCAATCCTAACCCTCATTCGGAACTTTAGGTGCCTTTGCCTTAATGGTGAATAAGAAATATCGATTTAGTTTGCGGTTCACAAGCAGTGAAAGAATTTTTTGTTAGCGGGTTTTTTCACATAAAAAGCCTACCAGATATTGAAAAGTATTTATTTATTGAACTCATCACATGCAGAACAAATTAGCTGAAACACAAAGAAGTAGAGAATGCTATACTTTGAGGAATAGCTTTTGGTTTATCAAGCACTTTTGAGCCGATACCGTAATCGGCGGTCGCAAAAATTATTTCGAAAAGAAAGGGGAAAAAACGAAGAATGGGGTGCGAGCGAAGCCGAGACATGCCTCTTTTTGTACAGAGCTAAAAATTTTGAGAAATTATGTCCCAAAACTAATGAACCTCTGAAAATTTTCAGTGTAGTTTTTAGAAGGGAATGAAGGGGAAGAGCTGCCTTCTATCTTTTTCCTCCCACTCTGCGTCACACTATTACTCCCATTAATCGTAATATAATGCCTCCAACCCAGAAAGTATTAAACTCCTAAGTATTTTAGAGTCTCTCTGATAGCGCATTTGTCGACTGGGATTTCGGTCGTATTCTTCCGCGAGCTGGTGTCGATGGTCAACTCTTCTCTATGATGTCTATCTCTGGAATGACTATTTTCGTCAGCGATGATTTCTGCTCACGTCGAGTGCAAATCGCGCGTGGCTCCTCTCGTGTTGCTTTCAACCTGATCAGAGAAGAAGCATTCACATCTTGATCGTAATTCATAATTGACATTCCACGACCAAGCTATTAGCGCCAGTCCTAATCCTGGATTTAATAACAAAAACGGGTTATTTATTGTTTCTTTTTTGGTTCAGCTGAGATTTTGTTGCTTCATGAGATGTAGAGATTTGTGTGATTGCTTTTTGCATGTTACGAGTTGATTGGATTTTTGTTCCATATTCAAGACATTCCGAAAGCGAATAAAAACACTCGCCGTTGCTTCTTCACTAAGTCGCACCTAGACAATAGCTCTAATTCCAAATGCGAAAACTCTTCTATTTCTTGCAGAACTCAAGTGTGCAAAAATATGCGGTAAAGTTCACTGGAAGTATTGGGACCATCGTGATTATCAAGAATAAGAGAAAATTTTTACACCACAGAGGCGTTTTGATGCCTCAAACCTGTTGAATTTGAAGTCATACGCATGTATCTGAAAACATTACGCTGCGAACACTCGTAAGGGTCCATGAAAGTCTAACATCATTTCCATTCGTAATTACTGTGAAGAAAGAGGAGTATAAGCCAAATGTTTTATCAATTGGATAAATTGTCCTAGCTCTTGCTTAACCTAATAAATGTCGGGCCTTGGTTACTATTGTACTGGAACATGGGAAGAAATTAGAAGAATAAAGTCTGGTAAGGGCTCTTATCATCAGTTTTCCTTTCAGTTTATAATACACGATTAGATTCATAATCACACCTGCACCATCTTCTGATTCAAAAGCTCAGGTCTAATTGTCTTATTCACAATTGTTTTTTCTAAGCTTTGCGGGCAATTTATTTTCAACAAAATTCAATATTCTTCCGCCAAACCCATCTCTTGTCTATTTCCCAGCTTTCTCCCTCAAGGCTTCTTCACCTTTTTCCTCAGAGTTTGATTAGTTGTTGAAGCATGTCCCAATAGAACTTTCGGACAGACTACAAAAGAAAAGAGCTGATCGAGTTATTGTTTGTTTCGGATGGAAACGAGGTGTCCGCGGATGTCACCAGCGCGCTGCGTTTGATGGTGAATAAGCCACATCTGAGACGTGTTCCTTTATTTGTGAATACAATAAGGAACTACGTCTGAAAAAATCTCTACAGGAAAAAAGTATGTCCTGCCTTTTTTGCGGAGGTTTTACTGCAAGATAGGGGTAGAAAGAAAGTAGAGGCTCCAGAAATTTGCAACCGCCTCTCGATGTTTCTTTTTCACGTAATTCAGTGATATGTGGGCCTCCTTCCCCTTTCCCACCTCTCCTTGCCTCCCTCCCGCCCTTCGCCCTACGAACTTGATGAAGCAGCTTACAATGACACGCAACGTTTTTCCCTCTCATCAAGCGAGCCCTTTAACTAACATCAATTGGGAAAACTAACTGTTCCCAAACAAGTGTCTGCGGCTTTTCATAGCTTTTTCTGCTTCCCTTCCTAAATTTGAAGCTTTTCGTTTTTAAATTCTAGTTGACAAGAAACGTTATTCCCCAAAACTGTTGAGTCAGTGAGCGAGCCTGGTGAGCAAAACAGAATATCTTAAATTAATCTATTTTTCAAGCTATCTTGTTGAGTACATAGTGTTATGCTGAAGCTTCCAGATTTAAGCTTTTACGCTCTAATTAAGAAAAAGCTGAAATCCAACACGGGAGCTTTTCTGGGTCTTTGTAGAAAAAGCGCTGACCATTTCGTGCGCATTCTCCATAGCGAACAAACAGCTGACGTGTGAGGAACTTCCGGGAAATGTTTCTAACTGGACCATGTCATCCTGAAATCTGATTCTCATGAAAAATTATCTTGCCCTTATAGCACATAATCAAAAAACGCAATCGTTATTGTTCAGAATAGGCAAATCTGAATTTAACAGAAACCAATTCCATTTGAAATAGTTCTGCAATGTACTTGATTAAAGGTCTTGCAAGAAAACACCACCGCTCAAACAATAAGTTAGAACTAATCGAGCACACAAACAGAGAGCGAAGACATTGTAACACAAGATTTTTGTATGATTTATTGACATATTATAGTATAAATCAGTAAGCATCAAAGCATTTCTCCGCACAAGAACGGTGCTAAACTTAGATTACGTCATAAAATATGATAATGCTATTGTGTAGTGAAAAAGTGGTAGGGCGACCTTACTAACTTACAGCGCAATAGAAGCCTACTGTATGACGTAATATTCTTGCAAGAAAATATGTTACCCAATTCTGATTTCTAGTCAGACGGCGCTTGGACAACTTGATGTCGTGGAAGTTGAGGTCAATAATTTGCTTTTTAATTAACAAATTATGAAAAATGCTAAAAGATGATTACCTTGTGGATCATAATCACTGGTGAGAACCTAACGCTCCGCCCACTTGCTTCTCCTACGATGACTACGTTCTATGGGGACCGCTAATCTCCGCGACGAGGAATTATGTATTGAATCAGACAGGGTAGCTTTTACGGATTTGATATGAGTTGGAGAAAGGAAGTTTGATCATATTTTCAAAACCATGCTAAGTCAACATGGTTTACCATTCCATTATCAAAGAAACCAAAGTATATTTCTTGATGTAGAGATGACGTAGTCATCGTAGGCAGCAAAGGAGGTGGAGCTCAAACTGCACAGGCGCAAGGCTCCGAGCAATATGACGTAGTCACCGTAGGCGCAGAGAAGGTGGAGCTTGAACTGCACAGGCGCAAGGCTCTGAATGTGTTAGGTCTGATCTAGAGCAAGATATAACTGTTTGGCGAGAGGGTATGGCTATTACATGAGACGCAACTTCATGCAACAGCTATTTTTAGTCCATCTGTTGAGTAATATTGTGCAGAAACGCAGATCTTTCCTCAAATCTCAACTTAATGATCCTTTATGAAAGATCAGTGTCATGGAAACCCTAGGGTTTGATGTGTTGTGTATGAACCACTTTACTATGGAGCTTATTAGTGCAAAGCTTTAAAGTCGATTAACGGAAAAAAAGTAGGCATCTCGAATGGAAATGCTATAAAAATCACTTAGTTTTTTTCTATAAAACAGCGATGCATAGGCATAGGTTCGATACTCCAGAGACAAGAGAACAAAAGTGATAGTGATTTTAACTATGGACCTTTGCA